TACATACATACATACATACATACATACATACATACATACATACATACATACATACATACATACATACATACATACATACATACACACATACATTTAATTTTATCTTCTACAAGCAAAGTAGCTGCCATAGGCCTGGAAGAAGGCTTACGCTCTTCAGTGTGCTCACTAAGAAATCCTGCTTCTCTCAAGCTGTCTTTGGAGATCGAAACAATCCCAATAGTTGTGCGATGGCTCGAACATCTGCTAGAATTTCTCTTCAAGGTTCTCGTTTATTCACTGAGGACCACCTATCCAAAAGCGTTCAAGCGCTGTATATGTGTTGGCTTCTGTGCTCTTTGCTCCGCTTTACCCATCTCTCGAAAGGTGTGGTAAACAGACCCCGATATTCCATGGCATCAGTAATGCGGTGAACACCGGGCGGCGATGTGCCCTGAGGGTTTGCCGACTGCGCAATTAGTGCTCAGCGCCAGCTGTCCCCACTTTTCCGTTTGCATTCAACACATCATCACCACCAAAGCAGTCCACCATCCACCCACATCAAACATATGACGCCTCAGAAAGGAATCTAATGATTCAAGAATGATAGCGATTTTGGCTTTTATAAGATGAGGAAAATCGTCGTGGGGTGGGGAGGGTCTTTCTCAAAGAGATCTTAGCCTGGTCATGAAGACAAAATATGTTCCAGGAAGAGCCAGACCCATTTATCCAGTCCAGTAAGTTACAATGGGTTAACGGATGGTTCATAGTTCAGTTGGAAGTTTCAAGATTAGCTCTATCGACCAGATATCCGCAGCTGACGACGAGGACGAGAAGTCACTGCTTCGGTAAATGATGCTACTGAACCTATCTGACTTCGACTAAGATGGATAGGCAAAGGTTTTATGATGAGAGTAAATGCAAAAATTCCTGCAAAAGTCTAAGTGTGAGCAATGGTTGCTATGTACATACCAGAGTACAAATAAGGAGAGCAAAGAGCTTACTGTAGAAGTGATGTGAAGACAGGCTCGACATGACTAGTGTGGCCCTGCTTTGAACATGACCTCCCGATGAAGAGATACAAAATAAGACTACTGGCAGTTAGGGTTCCGCCTAAACTACTTCGATACGTCACGCTAAGGCATAACAAGAGGTTATGGTGCTACTCTTACTGATCTTTATTGAGGGAAGTTTTTGTTAATGTTATAAAGCATAGAAAATCCAAATAGGATTTATCGATTAGAAGTTCAACATTGATTAGATGCTGTGCAAATAAGATCTCCTGAGTGCAGTCTGTAACGGACTGACGCTTTCAGCTGGATATTGACGAACTATTCATAGTTGATTGTTTACCATTACAAACTTGGCAATCCTTGGGAAGTGTTTGCTACGTTGATGCTCTTGGCAACTTTTTTACGGGCTCAAGTGACGGCGCTTGATGGATAGTACCTTCAAGAGAGACCTCAACAACGATTAGCTGGCCAGATGGTCTAAATAGTTGAATAGTTCCTCGAAAATCTTTCATCGATTCATTCTCCTTGCTTGATGTAAGCACAAAAAAAATTCAAAAGAAATTTCATCAAATCCACAGTTCATTACGAATCTGATGTTTTATTTTAAGTGAAGTAATGCAAGACATGGTGCAGAATAGTGCAAAGCTGGCCAAGAAGGCGCAAAAATCATCAAATTTTAGAAAGTCAGGTATTGAAAAGGGGTTCACCAGGTTACGTTTTTTATCCGTTTTATGTCCCCCACATGAGCATACTATTCGTCGCGTCCTGACGCTTCAATGAAAGTAGTGCAGTTTCAACAAGGCCGATATAACGGCCATTTTGGGTGAGTACGTCGGCTAAGCGGTTTTGGGACCCTTACTGCGCCGTTTTTCGGCCCCATACTTCCCATGTACTAATCTAGGGGAGGGTTTCGGTCCAATGAAAGGTTAAATCTTAGAAGGCATAGCATCGTTACTATACCTTAAAAGCATGGATATAATGGAGAAGGCGAAATATTAACTGCAGATAGATTATAATTAGACTGAAGTACTGGCTTATTTGAAGGGGTATTCGATAGCTGGCTATTCAGGTCTACGCACAAATGAAGGCGGTGAACCTTAAAGCACTGCACCATGTTAACAGTATGATCTCACCAGCGATAATGATCGCACTGGATGTGCTGGTATGTTTTCGCTTCCCAAGGTCTACGTGAAGTATGCAGTCCGATACCTTCTAAAGCGTCCTCGGATCACTGTACGGTTGTATCGATACTTGATGGGAAATTTAGTCTTGTAATCAATCAATAAGAGGTCCTGCCGCTCTAATCTTGATTTGGCCCGGCTCAGTGGAATAGTGAATAGCATTGACCGACTGATAAGGAGATGCCGCTTCCAATTAGTTGCTGAATGGAGCATTACTAGGATAGGCGAAGAGCCTCAGTGTTCCTTTTGGGTTCGCAGAAGAAGTTACACCTACGATCTAAGGACTCAGTCCATCCATTAAGCACCAAAGTAAAAACTATCACTTCAGGATTAAAAACATGATTATTCGCCCCTTAGACGAAGTAAATGAAAACTGGATCACCACGATCAATGTCAATCACTCTAGATTGAAATTTGAATGAACTTATCTGTATAGCAGTTCCAATGATAATCCCAGTGGGTTTGTAATTCAATTCGCTGCTTTGGCTGCTACGGTGCTTCAAAGAGTGGCATATATTGGACACCTGGGCAGCGCACCTGCGTACTCAAATCGAAAATGATCACCACCGCCGCACAGCACAGCCGTCGCCTTGTCAAATACACACACAATCTCAATAACAAAGAGATTACTGAACATCTGTGGGTGCGAAAACGTGGGGATTCTATCCACATCCTATTAGGCTCGGGAATCAAGGTATTCCAGAAGTGCCAAAGTTAAAGGAAAAGGAAAGTTGGTGAGTCATTTCCTCCGTTGGCAGGCGCTATCTGTTCTCCAGGCAACACCTGCCGCTGCCCTCCCAACTAAGGAATTTCAGACACTCACTTTCATCTGCCACTATTCATCACTTTCGAAGTTCTTTGCATGAGTGGATATAAATAAAACAACTTTCATATCTGGTGATATCAAGAACCTCGACAAAACGATGCGACTCACTAGGTGAATGACCCAATTCTACAAATTCTCTGCGAAATACATTGTTTCACATAACTATCGGTTTTCTAACATTCCCATAGTCCAAGTGATAGCGTCACATAGATGAAATCGTCTTGACGGCTGTTTCCCCGAACTAACCTTAAGAAACTGAGGTATATCCCAGGAGGAAGGCTCGGAGCAGTAAGAAAATAACATTGTTGTTTCGTGCTTATGCCACCTGAACGCATCCCTTGATTCAATGTTTATACTCTGCTGAATGGCATTTCAATCTACAACAGCTCCTTAGCAGAGCACAGAGTTCTAACTAGTCAATTACCAAAAGCTGTTATTAGATAGATATAGATGATAAAATACAAGGCCGAGACTATGATCCACCATCTTATGCTTACATCCAGTTTTGTTCAGATTGTTCTATCGAAGTTTTAGGAACACTTGAATTCATTTACCTTCAGAAATTATCCGGCGAAAAGCTTTAGCTACTCTGGACCACTTTATTTGCTACTGGTCAATACATACGAAAGTAACTTTATTCATTAGTCTACAATTTGAAAGGTAGATCGTGTACTGAACCGATCTTTATATTAGAGCCTATGGGATAGCCGCCACAGTCCGCTAGTCCTAAATCCCGCAAACGCACTCTTTTTTCCCAGTCTCGCTGAGAGGAATGGAATGCTTCTAGTGTGCATTGGCAGCTGACCATCCTCGGTCGGCCTCTATTGTCTCTGCGGATTTCTGTTCGTTGTCTGCGCACATGCGATCCTCCCAGACAGAGACTGCGCACCTGTGCAGCTGGGCGGGCCGAAGAGGAGGGCGTGGCCGGTGTCGCCGCCTATCAACTCGCGTCATTCGGAATTCAGCCGATCAACTCGAACGCTCGCCCATCACCGGACTTTCGGCCTTACTCATATTTTACTTCGTGATGAAAGCTATGCACCGAGAAACTAGACCTACTGTCACTGTCTCTACCTCCGGGAGAATTCGCAAATCATCGACGGAACGCAAAGAAAAATTAAAGGTGAGCAAGGAACTACTTGACGTTTTTCGTAACATGGAAAAGTTAAGGAGCCTCAGGAGCACATCCTGATTCTTGGCAAATTTTAGTATGCAATCGTCATTCCATAAATTAAAATATCATAACTGATACGTAACAATAATTCAAATTCTTTTGTAAAACCGCAGTGACCTCTTGATCCAATCCATATTAGGATTCAGAGTAATCTTTAAATAATGCTGATGGGATTATAACAGGTGAACCTCAAAGCAACAAAAGCATATTCAGTAATGTAAGAGGTGATCGATTCTGAGGGGTACAAGGGGGCAGCTCTACAAATAATTTTCTATGATAGTTTCTGTATGATGTCATCTGTCGAGATGATATTTATTGATTCCCAGATGAAATTGCATAACATTACTCTCTTTCAGGTCGAAAGCACACTTCGTCGTTTGGTCGGCTCTGATGAGAGCACCTCTCAACTGGAACTCGTGCTCTCCGCAATCCGATACATTAGAGAGCTGCAGTCTCAACTCGAGAACGACAAGGAGAATGACGTCCCCGACACCGTGCAAGACTCCCTTCAAGATCTGTTCGCCCAGTGTTCTGTGGGAAAGACGGCCACAGCTTGAGCGAGCAGTGCTACTTATCAAGCAGTACATCTCGAGTGATACTCGTGTCCTCAGTGCCCAATGGACACAGGGGTACCTTCTCCCCATCACAGCATATACGGGTATTCGCTTGACATTCACCGTATGTCGGCATTTATTTTTGTTCGAAACATTACTATGATCGTACGCCAAATTGTATATACATTAGAATACAAGAGATCAATAAATGTATGAACTTGAAGATCTGTTGTGTAAAAATAAAAGATACTGGAATTCATTGTTTCTAACCCGAGCAAGGATGGAATCTCGTGTCAATGATCGGAACAAAAGGCATGATTTCGACCACCAGGGCTCTACACATCAGAAATTCTTTGAGTGTCGGAGTAAGAGGTCATAAATGATGACCATACCAATTAAGACCAATTAAGAAGAGCCAAACGCGTGCCTAGTACTTCAAATAGCAAAACGATTGAACCGAGTAGCCTTGAACTTGAATCGACTCGGATCTTTGGTAATCCTTCAACCTTTTACGGTACTTAGAAACATTATGGTTGCTCGGTATACCTGAAGACAGGACTCACAAGTAAATAATAACCTATTAATGTACCTAATAAACATAGGACGAGAATTTCCATCTAACTCGTCAGGCCTATGACTGAAACTAGAAAATATAAAATGGTGTTTTCATATAAAGCTCAAGCAAAGAACAATGTGCTTGAAAATGCTCAGAAGGTTTTAAATTTTTTGAGGAATATTCATTCTCATCGAAAGACCCTCTACTGCATTCTGAAGGGAACAGTTGCCATTATTGACCGAGGATGGAAGCAAAGTCCCAGACCAACACGAAGTTTATAAAGCAATAACTGAGCTCGTTTTGGACTGTAGTCGATTCATTGTGGCCGGACTATATTGAAAAAATCAGGGCTGGATCATTTGGATTAGAAGCATTTTCGACAGAACCGAAATAATGCCTCTTGTCGCATAGCTGACTCTCAAGAAAGGAAGCTAATCTTCCCTGTATTTCTTCCCAAAATCGCCACCTTTTTAAAGCTGATGCAGGTAATCAAATGTAGTTGTTCGTCTAGAGCACACCATCGTCTAAGCAATGAATATAGTGAGCATTTGGCCCTGTCCGGATGGGGAACAGACATTTCTGGGTGACAGCTGTGTGCTTCGTGAACGAAGAGCAGATGCCGCCTTAGGCAGCGCGAACAGTTGGCCTGGCGTGTGGTATGGACCACCGGCAGCTGAGAGTAGACAGCGGCAGCAGCCAGCTCAATAGCTCAACACCAAATGGCAGACCACGGACCCCTATCTACCAAGATTTGTATGCACATAAAAATCCTCGGCGTAGATGAAGAGAAACGATGGGTTCTGAAGTAAAGAAGATTCGTAGACTACTAGTGGTCGAACGATCGTCTGCGAATACTCGAAAGTCAAAGGTCCAAACTTCTAGTTCGTTGTCAACCGTTGCAAACCGTCAGCAGCTGTGTTATAGAGAGGAGCCAGAGAAGAATTAGAACCACTTGATATGCATAGTACAGCTACATTTGCCGTTCGGCAAGAGCTCTTAAGGTAGGAAATAGCTCAGGGAGAAATTCTTATTCTTAAGATGAAGGATAAGGACTGGCCTTCTATGTATTTTGAATACAGTCTTATCAAGAATTAGTTACCAATGAAGGTGGGAGCTCTAACACACTCATGCTCATGCAACGTTTCAACACTCAACAAACCACAGCAATAAGTAAAGTTGTTACGCGATGTTCACTCACTGCGACTAGAGGGAGAAGCTTTCCTTTTTGAGACGATTTGACGTGTCGAGCGGCTGCTCCAACGTTGCATTCTATAACTTAGCCTAAAGGAGCAACCTTCTAAAAGGTTTGCCCATTGACCGTGGCCTTCTGACAAATTTGAGGATCGCGAATTAGCGAACGTAGCGACATAATCGTGCCGATACGTCGACAGTCACATGAAGCAAGTTGAACAAAAAGAGTCATCGTCGAAAGAACCTACACCGGTCCGGTAGGAGCTCTCTATAGATGACCCAGAGTGTCTAGCAACCAGTCACAAACGCACCTAGTTGTGCTCGTGGTTCCAACTTTACAGGTTTCACTTTGCTCATAATGTTGAATAAATGTATTTGAAAGCTGATTGAGCAACTAATGTGACATTTCCGATGTGATAAAATGATACTTATCTTGAGCGAATAAATAAAACTGAAGCAATGAGGTTGTATAAAGGTCGAAACTTATCAATCATAAAGCATGAGCTCCATTTTCTATGTTTTATGCACATGAACATGAGCATAAAACTGGAGCGTTCACATGAAATGCTCTTTTCAGTCTTCATTGGACTCAGTATCATCTTTTCTTCAAAGGCCACTGGTAATAGAAAAACCTGCAATTAGCCAGATGACTTTGGGATGGACCAAGCCGCGCCTGCTGGGCAGTCATATCCAGTTCTTTTCTGAATTGGTTCAGGTGGCAGTGTCACAGAGCAAAGCACCCGTCTTCGGGAGCAGCTGTCCGCAATGGCAAGGTGCAAATGCAGATGGCATCCGTTGAGAAGGCCGATTAACGCGTTAGAGTAGCTGCTTTAGCTGAAGAGAGCAGATTTCTATGAATTTTTTTTTGGAATGCTCTATAAGCTCCTCTCAATTGCTCACAAAAAACCTGGAACGGGATTGGCTCGAGATTGATTTCGCACATATACAAATCTGGATGGGTCATATCCAAACCAAGCTCCAAGAAGCTTATGACCCAATAAAAATAACAGCCTCAGAGTTTACACATTCTTGTTGGGTTACGCTACTTTTGATGAGATCGCAACGGTAATGAGATGCTAAATCATTCGACCAAACTGCAAAATCAAAAAAATTCTTCTCAAGTGTCATATCAAATTTAAAGTCAGAATACTGACAGTTTCTCAGGAATATAACTTCTCAGCACCATTAAGGATCTGGGTTAACTGATTCACTTAGATATAGTCCCAACTTCGAGCTCATTAATGCTAAATAGCGTTTTGTGCAGGAATAGTTCACCGACCAGGTGTTGTTACATTATCTATGCCACCTACAGCAACTCAAAAAACTGTTCACAAGAGTTGGTGCGATCGTTGGTGCCTCGAACCTTCCATATTTTTCCTCTAGCGGGAATCGGCTATCTGAGAAATGCCCTCATCAGCTTTTGACAAACTTCGCAGAAGTTTCATAAGCCTTGAATCATAATAATGTGTACAGGTGAAAGCTGTTCCTTTCCCACCTGCACACACCAGGCCAGCGTTGGCCAGGGCATGTGCTGTTGTGCTCATCAGCTGTCCGTTATATATATTCAGCCTGCAGCCGACAAACGCTTACGGTCGCCCATATTGCGACGCTGCTGATTTTCTGAGGCGAATTTGTCACCTGGCTGCTGCCTGCTGCTGCTGCTCCCAAGGGCAGCTTAATCAGTCAATCCAATGCGAGAAGGGAGAAGGAGATGAGGGAGGTGAAGAAGGAGGGGAGCGGGGTTGGGGTGGGGAAGGAAGGGAGGAGCACAGAGAAGTGCGCGAGACCATTTAGCGTTCTGCTCAAGATCAACATAAGGTTCTAGCTAAAGCTAATCAAGTTTCTTAAGATTTGCGAGGTAATAGTTAATGCCAGTATTGTAATTTCACATCGATGTTCATACAAGCCCTACCTGATACCACTTATTCCAGCAACCATTTTTACGAAGAGAGAAGAGTTGACACTCCTTATAATTTTGAATACTGTAATAAAAGGTATCAGTCAGAAAACGGACCAACCATCAAAGCGGGACCACAAAGCCGATATTGTTCATCACCTGATCTATCAGAAGTTGAAGTGCACAGCGTTTGACTCGCTCTGATCACAACCATTCAGATGGTTGGGATTGATGGAGAAGACTCTGTATCACCCAACCGAATTACAATTTCAGCTTTTTATGCCGTTTTTCGTTTACAAGTGTTTGCATGCTGTCCCCTGTACTCCTACCAAATTTGAGCTTTCTAGGTCCAGGGGAACAGGAGTTATGAATTTCCGGTCAAACACACACACCGACACACACACACACACANAGATCAATAAATGTATGAACTTGAAGATCTGTTGTGTAAAAATAATAAATAAATACAAGGGGGCAGCTCTACAAATAATTTTCTATGATAGNGGTTGATTGAAGGCAGTAGGCTGTGACTTGGCTGTGGCCGCGCTACAAAAGGTGTTCAATGCCTAATGTCACGCCTTCCATAAGGCAGAAATTCTGATGAAGCAGCTTGGTGATCAGAGTCAAGTGAAGCAAGAAAAAATTCTGATAAAAAATTCAAAACGCATCAACTAGGTATGAATTATTCATAATTACTACCAGTACCTCTTCGCTTACTTCAACGCAATAGCGCACTCCCGCTTTCCTGTGGTTCCCTTATATAGCCAGTTCGCACTGAACGGCGCCACCATTACCTTATACACCTACATCCTTCCACCATTTGCGCTTCTGTTTTCCCTTGTATTGTACCCCTACTCTCCTTTGACTCATCCCTTGCACATGTGAGCACTGAGAATGATATGTTCCAAAGTTGCAATTCCGCAAAAAGATGTTCAGACTCAGGAAGAAAAGGGAATGAGTAGTTCCGAGAGGCGTATGTTATGGTTTTCATCGTTTCGTTTCATCTTGCTATTGAGAATTGTGCAATGCATTAATGTTTCTGATCCAGAAGAGCGATATTAACTTAGTAGAGTTCGACAGGGGAGAGGTCAGAAGTCAGAGAATTAAGCGAGGACGGCTTCCAAGCAAGTTGGGAAAAAGCAAATCTTCATATGGTGAGGTGCACGACTTCAATTATGAAAACAGTTAAGGAGAAATGCAATCTCATGGTGAACCTCTTCATCTTCTTCAATCTTTTCATAGTTATCTTCCTCTCTTCTTTATCCTCAAACGGTGACAAAACTGCAAAGTCTATGATAGGCTGCCTCACTTGCTTTCCCCATTGCCCCCTCAACCGGCATGAGGCCTCAACTCAATCCTCAACTTTATAAGCATTTTCTAACTGTCATGCTCTGTCAGTTCATATCGGATGCTTTCTAGTGTCAATAAGGCACGCGGCACTCCTTAGCACCCTCGTGAGGAGCAGCATCTGTGCCACAGACGGTTCTCGTTGAAATTGCGCAAGATGCGGGCTAAAAGCAGAACAGATGAAAAGCAGAAGGTAGAATCCACACACACACAGCCATTAACAACATGTGCCTTCTGTCTGGTCTCCACATGCGACGAAGAGACGAATTGAAAGTGTCAGCTCTCACAAACCCTGGCGGAAGGGATCGGGCGGGTAATGTGGGTGGACCAAACGGAATTGAACCGTTATCAATAATAGTTATAGAAAACAGAGCTCTGAATACAGAACCGACCCCAATTATCCATCTCCTCATGGAACTACGTTGAAAACACTGAAAATGGTACCACTTACCAGCCTTGAACGTTAAATATGATTCGCAATATCGAACTGAAGATTTCTACCACAGGTTGATCCCAGGAAACATTTCGAAC